CAACTCTGCTGCTGATGCTTGACATGACACTGGAGCCAGAGGCACTAGTAAGGGAAGATCTAAATACCCTCCCAGCAGCCATCGTCAGGTGGAAACAGATTACTGGGGTCTCATGGCTGTTGGGAGACACCTTCTGGTGGACACCAGAGCTATAATCTTCCACTCTGGGAAGCAGAGTGCCATCAGCAGGTTATCCAGACCCTGACAAACCATATCTAATTCACAAAGGGTCCAAAGCAACTTTAATTATACTTAAGACATCCAACACATTTTGTAGTCAAAACAAGCTCCCCCTTAATCAGGGCTCAGCAATGTTTGCAAATGTCTGCGTGTACTTAAAGTTTTCTACTCACCCTGTCAAAAAATAAAAGTCAGCAGCTACAAAAACTGTAGCTGCTGACTTTTAAAAAACAGCCACTTAACTGTCCCTTGGTACCACGGTGTGTCCCCTGCAGCCCATTTTACTGGTCGTCCTGTATTCCAGGAGGTTGGCATCTTCAGTGTGGGCACCCGGCTGTGACAGCTTGCAGCTTCACAGCTGGGTACCCACTGCGTATGTGCGAGAAGTGCTGCACTTCATGAATGGTCCTGTAGTCTTCTGGGACCTCTCACATGTCCCAAAAGACTACAGAGAGGGAGGACACCTTCCGCTTCCGATCACCTAGGTGATTGGACCAGAAGTGGGAGTGGGTACCTGTCAAATTTGGGTACCCGCCCCCTACCCACCCCAAAGTTGCCAATCCTTAATGGGCAGTCCTTAAAGCGGAACTTCACCTTTTGGGTGGAGTTCCGCTTTAAGTGAGTAGATTCAAGAGAGATATGAATTCTTTGAACCAGTAAAGCTGGCTGTACACCAGTAGATTTTCAAAGAAACTTTGTGCTAACATTTTCGTCAGCACATTCAATCACAATAAATGTTATTTAAAAGTATTTTAAAAACATTTGCTTTTATTATTCAATTTTGGAATGAATGGACTTTCCCAAATGAAAAACCACAATTATAGTTAGAAATGTATTAATTCAAGAAATATTTTCCATCCTGCTCCTTCCAATTTTCTTGTCACAAATGTCGGTTTGACCCCACTAACAGTTAGAATATTGAACAAATATTTCTAATGACGTAAACAGGGGCGGGCTGACAACTCATGGGGCCCCCGGGCAATAGGGGATCATGGGACCCCTGTGTCCTTGCTCAAACTCAAAAAAGCCTATGAAAAAGGTACCAGGGGCATATCATGGGGCCCCCTACTGACCCCGGGCCCTCAGGCAGTGCCCAAGTTTCCAAATGGTTAGTCCACCCCTGAATGTGAACCGGGACACTTCTCTATGGAGCCGGTTTACATATATGCAGGCCACCGGTTCGCATTATTCTACTTATGATTATTATTACACAGGATTTATGGCGCCAACAGTTTGCTCAGCGCTTTACAATATAACAGGAGACAATACAGCAACAATACAGTTCAATACAAGAGGGTTGGGAGCACCCTGATCCTTGGAGCTTACAATCTAAGAGGGAGGGGCTGGTGGTACAACTGTGGGGGATGGACTGGTAGGAGGAGTAGAAGATTCCATTATTAGCTGAAGGCAGAATAGGCTTTCCTGAAGAAATCGGTTTTCAGAGATCGACTAAAAGTGGGCATAGTAGGAGATAGTGTGATAGATTGGGGTAGGGAATTCCAGGAGATGGGGAAGGCTCTGGAGAAGTCCTGGAGATGAGCATGGGAGGAGGAGACATGTCATGCAAATTGGATGTGGTTCAAAATGCATCCAATTCGATCATATGTGAACTGATCTACGTTCTAGTTTAATGTTTGTCAGCCACTTCAAGCTGAATTTGGAAATATAAAACTGATTACATTTTAGTTTTTTTGTGTTTTGCAGATTCGTGTCCAAAATTGGATGACATCATAGTCCCATGTTTAATACATGGCAAGGAGGCCAAGCTGCAGTGTGTGATCCGGGGGTATTTCCCTGAAAATCTGGAGGTGAGGTGGTTACAGAGAGAAGCAGATAAATCCGAGCTGTATGAAGTTTCCCCTGTCGGTAGATATAAGATTCTAGAAATGGAAGTTACACAGGAGCTTGATAGGACCTACACCTGTACTGCAACTCTCATGGTATCGGTGTCAGCCAAAACAGACCAGGGGTCACAGTTCTTCTGCCGGGTGAAACACTCCAGTCTGCCTACCTACCTGGAAAAATGCACAGAAAAGCTGAATGTGGCAGGTAAATTTCATAACAGCATCCATATAGCAGGTGTTGGGTACGCTAATTCCTATGATAAATCAATGAAAAACATTTGACCAGAGCAGGAAATTGCCTAATAACATTAGTTTTTTCCCTATTCACAGAGAACGAATATTCAGGTACTTTCACTGGGAAAATTGCCGTGCAATTTTTTTTTAACCTCCCTAGTGGTCTGATTATGTCAGTATTTCTGTGCTCAAAGCGATACATTTTTTTGCATGGAAATTTGTTGTTTGTTTTATTGTAGGCCTGTAATTCTTAGGAATAACTCACTGAAATCTGTCCGAACAAGAGTCTAGTAAACATCCCGGGTAGGATAAAATTTGAAACACGAAATCATAAATTATAATATAATAAATAATCATAAAAAATAATAATATAATAATAATACATTTAATTCATTAATGTAATCAAACCAAAAACACTGAAATGTGAAATATAGCGCCAAGTTTGCACATTGCTGAGCAAAGTCGCAGAATTGCTTTCAGTGTCTGATGACGAATTTCCCCCACGAATCATTATCACTCAATTCTGCAAGTGGTTCTGATTTACTATCGCTGTTCTCTAGCCGGTCTAAAACCGCTTTTGACCTAAAGTGACGCTTTTTGGACATCATGGACATTTCTCAGTTTCCAGGCAGAAAGAACAGTAAAAATGCAGGCAGGGCGCCGGACAAAGCACTCGGGACAAAATGTATGTGAAATGGTTTGATACAGGAATGGAATACTATGTGGTTTTAGTGTATTGAGTGAATGTCACTTTTAAAATTTTTGAATTTCCCACCGTTCCGTCCCGTACGTCCCGACGTCGCAGGGAACGGAACCCGGACATTCTAATCCGTGTGCCTTCCACCTAGACCGGAAGTTTATACTGTATATAGAAAATATATACAGAGTTTAATAAGAAAAAAATATAAAAATTTAATGAATAGCTTTTTAAAATAAAATAATTATTAGTGTGAGAAAGGTTTTTTTGCTAATGTTTTTTTTTCCTTTGGATTTGTTATTGAACTTTTTATCCACAAGATAGCACCATAGGAGGAGACTATTGTCTAATAGCATGTCATTTCGACTATTATTGCCAATTTTTTTTTTGTTTCCCAGCGATTGCCCTTTTTTAGGGCGATAATTTTCAGCTGCCAATTTATCGGTGCATCCCTAGTATATGTACCCACATGTGTAAAATAGTCAAAAGTAATATTGGCGAGGTTTGATGTTCGTTCACATTTGCTTGAATGCACAAAATACTACCCAGTAATACAGATTTTTAAAAAATTTTACTGATATAAATGCAGCAGTAGTTTATGGATATTTATGTGCCTGTGTGTACAGGCCCATTGATAGCAATGCGCTGCATTCAGGTCATTTAAAAAAATATCTGAATGCCTAAAAACTTGGCCTTTTTTGGCCCTCAAGTGCAAGATTCCTTAATGCCTAAAATGTTATTTTTGGTGTAATTCATGAGAATATCAATGTGCATTAGGAAGAAAAATTATATGGCTAAATGGTTAGCACTTCCGCTTGGCAGCACTAGGGTCATTGGTTCGTAATCCCAACCACAGCACCACCTGAATGGAGTTTGCATGTTCTCCCTGTGCCTGTGTGGGTTTCCTCCGGGTACTCCGGTTTCCTCCCACACCCCAAAGACATGCTGGTAGGTTAATTGGCTCCTGTCTATATTGTCCCTAATATGTGTATGTATGAATGTGAGTTAGGGAGCTTAGATTGTACACCCCTTGAGGGTTAGGGACTGATGTGAATGTACAATATATATGTAAAGTGCTGCGTAAATTGATGGCGCTATATAAGTACATGAAATAAATAATGATTATTGATGCTCGAAATCCAACCTTTTAGGAATCCCGGTTATACAGAGTAGTGTACAGGATGATAAGTTCATTGTACTGGAAGTGGACAAAGTTTACACAAAGGATCTTGTGGTGACCTGGGAGGAAGCTGACAATGAAAGTGGGCCGTACAAAAAGATCTCAGACCAAAAAACCAAGAAGGCTAAAACTGAGAACAGCGATGGCAGCTTCAAACTTAGCAGGACATGTGATGTATCATATCTGTTTAGCGGTATAAAGGAAAAATATTTTTTAAAAGCCACCATAGAACACAGCGCTCTGAAGTCTCCAGAAGAGATCGTCTTTCACAAGAAAGGTAATGTGTGACATCTTGTTGATTAACCCCTTGTCCTCCAGAGGATCTACCCCCCCCCCCCCCCCCCGACCAGGCCATTTTTTGCGTTATGGCACTCCATTACTTTAACTGACAATTGCGTGGTCATGCAACGCTGCACCCAAATTAAATTTACATCCTTTTTTACCCACAGTGATATTTGATTGCCTGTGCATTTTTAATTTTTTGCGCTATAAACAAAATAAAACCGACAATTTTGAGAACAAAACAGCATTTGACTTTTTGCTATTAAACACTTCCTGTCCACCAACAGTGTACCAAATGCCTCCAGATTGCCAAATTGCATTGGATTTTACAGAAAATTGCAGCGCTGCAGTTTGAAATGGAAACTTATTTTTCATGACGTTAATGTAGAACTATAGTTTATTTTATTTTACAAAACTTTATTTTTCATTTTTGGACAATATAGGGGATGGTTATAGCACTTGTCTGTTTTATTGCCATCCACACTGGGGAGATTTCTCATCACTTCCTGTTTCATAGCCAAACCTGGAAGTGAGAGGAAATCCCTCCAAAGTGAGGGAATCCCTACAACGAGCATCCCAACTCATGGGGCCCCCGGGCAATAGGGGATCATGGGGCCCCTGTGTCCTTGCCAAAACTCAAAAAAGCCTATGAAAAAGGTACCAGGAGCTTCTCATGGGGCCCCCTACTGACCCCGGGCCCTCGGGCAGTGCCCGACTTTCCAAATGGTCAGTCTGCCCCTCGTCCCATTGGAAGATTTCCTGCTCTGGAGACTACCCAAAATTGGGGATTTTCTTTCACTTTCAGTAATGAGGAGAACAAATAAAGGATGAATCTCACAAATAGGACACAGACAGCAATAAAAGCCCAACAGATGTACTAATCCCTCTCCACTCTACCCAAAAGTTATTAGCTTTAGTAATACTTTAATATCTATTAACCGGTCCCTACCACACTATAGCTGAAAGACGGCTACAGCGCGACTGTCTAGTTCTGGCAGGACGTCCATGGACGTCCTCCCAGAACACGCCCCCTGCGCGCCCCCAGCGTTGCCGGTGATCGCTATGTCTGACGGACACAGCTGATCACAGGATACGGTAAATGGTCAATCATAGCGGCCTTTTACCACGTGATTAGCTGTGTCCAATGACACAGCAGATCACTGGGTAAATACAGATGCCGCTTATTGGCTGCACTTTCTACACGGTGTCACAGCGTGAGGAAAGTACTGCCGATAACCAGCAATTGTCAGAAAAGTGATCAGCACTGATCATCAGTGCCCTGATGATCAGTTCCCAGCAGTGCTTCCCACCTGTGCCACCCACCTGTGCCCAGCAGTGCCATCCATCAGTACTGCCCTGCAGTGCCACCCATCAATGTCCAGCTGTGCCGTTAGTCAGTGCCACCCATCAGTGCCGCCTATCAGTGCCCATCAGTGTTGCCTATTAGTGCTGCCTATCAGTGCCCATCAGTGCTGCCTATCAGTGCAGTCTCATCAACACACATCACTTCAAGCATACACCATAATGGCAGAGAAGAAAGCAGGGAGAGACATGAAAATTAATTTTTACTGATCCTCTATATGTTTGTTTTTTATCCACACAGGAGGTAATCTTTTAAAAAGGAAAAAAGGATCATTGGAGCAAGTACCAAAGAAAATCACAAAGTCCGACAATGATCAGAAATCAGTGGATGACAGTGCAATCCCAATGTGACAAAACAATTGTGGATAGAATATTATTCATAGAATACAGAATTTAAATTAACTGGTATTCACAATAAGTCATGCCAGCATGCGAATAGAAACCGGTCGTCGTCTTGACCTTCAGTCTGATAATGGGGTCTTCAGCCATCTTTCCATTCATGTAATAGGAAAAGAAAATCTTTTTAAAGTGGAAATCAATTTAATAAAAGAAAAGCTACCCCCTGCCTACCATATATAGTATACAGTATATACAGTATACATTTTTTAACATACTTTTCTTCCATTTGTGTTTTGGTGCCAATTCGTGTAAACAAACATCAGCTGGAAGTCTGTCATTTGTGGCAGGACATATTGGAACCTGGAAGCCCCCTTTAGAATAAGTGGGCCCTGGGATATCTAGCAAAAAAAGTGAAATGGTAAATAAAAACATTCACATGATAGAAAAGAATAGTTTATGTAACAATAGAAAAATAATGTCCCGCAATGTAAATCCAATGTCATTCACATCATCCAGCAATGTAAATCCAGTGATGAGCAACATCTGATAACCAACGTGATGGCCAGTAGCAACCATGGTGCTGCCCAGCTGCACTCCTGTGGCTCAAAGTCCTCCTCACCGATGACCCTGCTACCGATGACCCTGCTACCGATGACCCTGCTACCGATGACCCTGCTACCGATGACCCTACCTCTGCTAAGCCCTTCTTCCCCAATCAGCATAACGTCCCATCGGGTGGAAATTTCTTGTGGAAGTCCCTGCACGCGCCGCCGGTGCTATGCCAAACACGGCATCCCCAACCAGGGGTGGACTAACAACTCATGGGGCCCCCGGGCAATAGGGGATCATGAGGCCCTTATGTCCTTGTCCAAACTCAAAAAGCCTATGAAAAAAGGTACCAGGGGCATCTCATGGGGCCCCCTACTGACCCCAGGCCCTCGGGCAGTACCCGAGTTTCCAAATGGTCAGTCCGCCCCTGTCCCCAACATTTTTTCAGGTATTCACAAGATGCCGGGGATGCCGCGTTTTCATAGTACAGCATCAGCCCAGCTTATGCTGGCACTGGCCCTGATGTTGTCACCCTTCTGGTTCACACCCCCATAGCGATGCCACTCAGTTGACATCCTTGGGTTTAAATGGTTATCTCAGGATGATGCCTGAAGTTGCAAAATAAAACATTTCAGCCATCGATTGGCTTTTATGTAAAAGCGATTTGAATGGCTCCTGCCACCGCCTCTACCGGGGTCTCCTGTCCCATCGGGACTGATGTTGTTCCTCCCACTGTGGAAGTCAGAAGCAACAAGAATCTCATTACTTCCAGTTTTTGTTTGATGTAAACATACAGCTCAGATCTCTCCTTAAGAGGACTTATCACGGCCCATGATACCTCAAGGGATGTTGTTCAACCCTTGTGATTGCAATAAAGTTGATTTAAAAAAAAATAAAGGGACAGTATAAAAAAATACATTTACATAAAATAAATAATAAAAATATTTAAAGTGCTTTGCCACCTCAATGAGGTGTCTATGTGAACGTCAGAGCGAACAATAGGGCCAGACCTCCTGTGTAACTTTAAAGCATTGCCTATAGATAATTAGATGTACTGTAGTCTGTTGCCATTCCACGGAAGTGTGCAATTTTAAAGCAAGACATGTTTGGTATCTATGCTATGTACTCAGCGTAACCTCATCTTTTATTTTTGCCAAAAAAATGGGTATTGTAATGTGTTTGTGTTCACTAAAATCGATTCAAGTGTATTTTTTTCCAAAAATTTGTGTGTTTGAAAAACCGCTGCACAAATACTGTGGGACATAAAAAATTGCAACACCCACCATTTTATTCTGTAGGGCCTCTGCCTAAAAATAAATATAATGTTTGGGGGTTCTAATTAATTTTCTTTAAAAAAATGCCACATTTTTTTTATATATATGACAGAAATGTCAGAGTTGGCTGGGTTGGTTACTGGTTAGTGGTTAGTGCGCAATGCATCCCTTTGAGTGAGAATCAATGCAAATTAAAATGTTTAATTTTACAAAACAAAATTGTAAATAAAAAATAAAAAATTTCTCTGGAAGAGTAAGATTTAGCAGGTTTTTTTGACAAGGCAGCTTTATTTTCAAGATTGATTTTAGCAACAGAGCTTTATTGATCTATAGTCTGTAGCTGAAGCTTTTTAACCACTTGAACTTTGGAAGGTTTTACCCCCTCATGACCAGGCCATTTTTTGCTATTTGTTGCTGTGCTATTTTAACTGGCAATTGTGCGTTCATGCAACGTTGTACTCAAACAAAATTTCTATAATTTTTTTTTCACACAAATAGTGCTTTCATTTGGTGGTATTTAATCACCGCTAGATTGTTTATTTTTTTTGCTATATAAACGAAAAAAGACTTAAAAGTAAAAAAAAAACCTATATTTTTTTATTTTCTGCCATAAAATATATCCAATAAAATAACAAAAAATCTAATTTCTTAATGAATTTTGGCTAAAATGTGTTGTGCTACATGTTTTTGATTTAAAAAATCCCAATATGTGCATGTTGATTGATGTGCATGAATTTTATAGTGCCTTAAAACTATGGTACATATACTGGAATTTATTTTTTATACTACTATTGGCAGCGTTCAGCAACTTAACTGGATTGTGATAGTGCAGTGGGTAATCTGACCCTAACTGATGCTGGGAGGGGAACTGACCAACTGCCATTGACATCACCAGTGACAATAATACAGTGATCAGTGATACTATACACTCTCACTGTACTATTGACACTGGCTAGGAAGGGGTTAACATCTAGGACGATCAAGGGGTTAAATGTATGCCATCCCACATGGAAGAAAAATATATTTTAAAAAATATTCTTCCCAAATATATTGACATAGATTTGAAATACTACAATTTTGGCCGTATTGAATATATATATATATATATATATATATATATATATATACTGTATGTTGAAATGCATTTTTTATATATTAAAAAATAAATGATAAAAATACATTTTCAAATATATGTCTTTGAAAATACATTTAATCTACATTTTTGGAATGTAGGAATATATTTTGGAAAAAATTATGTAAAAATATGTTAAAATAACTTTTTATATATTAAAAAAAAGAAATATATTTAAAAAATATATATTTTTAAATATATGCCTTTAGAAATATTTAAATTTACATTTTTTAGAATACATGTTATATATTGGCGTAGACCAATATATTGTAAATATATGTCACATATATAATTTTTTTTTCTGAATGTATTGGAAATATATTTGTCTTCCATATGGGATACTATGCATAATGTGTGCAAAGTGTGCTGCTTTTACTAAAACATATCTTTCAGTTTTTCATCCCTGCCTGTGGGTGTGCCAAGTTGTTAAACATACAAAATACTGATTGTAGAGTGATTCATATCCCCCTCCACTACTATTGTGTTTATAAGGACCTTGTAATTATTTTTTATTTGTGAAATCTATGCTGTAAATATCTATCTATCTATCTATCTATCTATCTATCTATCTATCTATCTATCTATCTATTCATATCTATCTATCTATCTATCTATCTATCTATCTATCTATCTATCTACAAGTCCCATGAGGCATTGCAAGATTGACAGTTTACAAGCATGTCTCCCACAGACAGAGGCATGATGGGACTTGTAGTTTCCAAACAGCTGGAGGACCGCCAGTTTGACACCCCTGGTCTAGAACATGGGTGTCAAACTGGTGGCCCCCCAGCTGTGCCAAACTACAAGTCCCATGAGGCATTGCAAGATTGACAGTTTACAAGCATGACTCCCAAGGGCAGTGGCATGATGGGACTTGTAGTTTCACAACAGCTGGAGGGCCGCCAGTTTGACACCCCGGTCTAGAAGAAAACACATGAGGAATGGAATTAGTATTTACGTATTGCTAAGTTCAGCTTTAAGATATGTGGCCTGGTATCAGGGGCGGACTGACAATTCATGGGGCCCCCGGGCAATAGGGGATCATGGGGCCCCTGTGTCTTTGCCCAAACTCAAAAAAGCCTATGAAAAAGGTACCAGGGGTATCTCATGGGGCCCCCTACTGACCCCGGGCCCTCGGGCAGTGCCTGAGTTTCCAAATGGTCAGTCCGCCCCTCCCTGGTATAGTATAAGAAGGGGGCCGTAAGCTCTCTACTCTCCCTTTCCTAACCAGCTCTGGATCTGGATTTCTGGAACAGAAGTTGGGGGGTTTTCTAAGGTTCCAGAGCAAGCCTGGAGCTGGAACTCAGATGATGGAGCCACTTCGGAGGCAAAGATATCAAGCATAAAGCACTGCCAGCCCTAGTTTTGTGTATTGAAAGTTGATGTTTTGACAAAAACCAATCAAATTCTAAAAGGCATTTTCGTAGGGGAGGATAAAAGAATAATTTAACTTTTTGCCAACACTCATATGCACATATGTGGCCCCACTGAAGTAGGTCTTCTGCTATGGGGCTCATATGTGGATACATGGGTTTGTGCTGCAAACTCCTGATCTCGAACTAACAATTGGGAACCAGCAGAACTGGCTCTCGATCACATGATCAATGTGATAGCCTGTGATTAGCTATCACAGTGATCAGTAACTGTACAGCCTGGTCCTATACCTTTTCTCCTCTTGAATGGAGAAAAAGACAGATTTGGGGTGATTTACTAAAACGGTGCACTCAGAATGGATGGGAGCCAATCAGCTTCTAACTTCAGCTCGTTCAATTAAGCTTTGACAATAAACCCTGGAAGCTGATTGGTTTCTATGCAGAGCTGCACCATGAAATTTTAGTACATAACAACCATTGCATACTAGAGGAGAAGAATATAACCAAAAAAGTTGAGTAAAAAAATAAAATACAATGAAGGTTACAAAAGCTAGATCAGGGTTTGATTTAGGTCAGGGTCAGGATTAGGGTCAAGGTCAAGCTCTCTGTGTTTTTGATAGGTTTATAATAAAGTTTTTTTTTCATGTCAGTCAGTGTCAGTATGTTTTAGGTGGGATACAAAAAAACCCACAATTCGCACCATTGTTTCTGGGCCCTACTATGAGTACAAACATCAAATAACATACACATTAGTGATGAGCTGAACACCCCCCTGTTCTACGCAGTCGAACATTCGAACCTACCGAAAGTTCGACTTTGAACAGGGACAATTCACTAAGCGATATCTTACTGTATCTGAGTATGTGATAAGATACCGCACAGCTACTAAAATACCGCAGGAATTATATTATGAAGTCATGCAATATTTTAGTAGCGAAAACATTTTTGACAGTTTCAGCTGTCAGCGGGGTTCATGATCTGTTGTTCGCGGTGATACCTCACATGTGTGGGCCGATGATTGCATGTGTGCAGGACCGATGAGCACATGCGCTTTTGAGACCAAGCATGGGAGGATGGGGGCGCTTTAACATTTTTTTTTAATTATTCATTTTTTTTTGTATTTTTACATGGTTTCTTTATTTTTTTTTATCACTGTTATTGCCGTCATAAGGAATGTAAACAGCCCCTGTGATAGCAATAGGCACGTGACAGGCAGGGCTGCTGTTAGAAAACATGGGGTCCCATACAGCCAACCTGCCAGGGCCCCCTTCAAAAAAAAAAAAACAACACAGTTTACTATGCTGCAGTTATGAATGAACAGAATGAGTGACCAGTGCCAATCACTCAAATGTGTTCATTCAGGAAAGGAAGGGACTGGTAATGTGACATATTTATCAGACCCTTCCCCCACTTCCCATCCTGAAGGATCCTATTCTCAGAGGTCTACAGAAGAGGAAGATAACCACAAATGATGTCTGATAACAATGGATCATAAACATCACCAGGAATGTGTAGTAGATGCTGCTCTCCTTAACCGGGGAAATCTTGTGAAAACTACAAAAAGAACAGACAGGAGGGCGCAAACGGCAACGATTTATTGTTCACAAAACATAGATGTCAAATGGATAGTCACCAGTGAAAAGTAAAATCGCATAAAACCACAAAATGCCACAGCAAGGGAAATTGCATGTGTCCATTCAACCCAGCTGGACTGATTAGCTGAAACGTTTTGGAGTCGTACCTCCATCCTCAGAGCTATGCTAGCCAACATCATCACAGAGGACAAGGGGGCGCTCTACGTTTGGAGGAAAATAAATGTAATTTCCAATCACAGAAAGGTTTCTTAACAGTAAGAGCTGTGAGAATGTGGAATAGACTCCCTCAAGAGTTGGTTGTGGCCAGCTCAGTGGATTGCTTTAGAAAAATGCTTGAATTCTTTCTTAGATATACAGAATATAACTGAATATAACATTTATAGGCAAAGTTGATTGAGCTTTGCTGGGTTTTTTGCCTTCCTCTGTGGGTGTAGGATTATAATTTTTTTTTATTTCTTATGGTTGAACTAGATAGACTTTTATCTTTTTTCAGCCAGACTAACTGTAACGTGATAGAGCCAGATCTGTATATATTCTTAGATTGTAAGCTCCAAGGATCAGGGCCCTCCTATCCCTCTTGTATTGAACTGTATTGTTGCTGTATTGTCTCCCGTTATATTGTAAAGTGCTGAGCAAACTGTTGGTGCTATATAAATCCTGTATAATAATAATATATAAATCCTGTATAATAATAATAATATATAAATCCTGTATAATAATAATAATAATAATAATAAAAATCCTGTATAATAATAATAATATATAAATCCTGTATAATAATAATAATAATATATAAATCCTGTATACTAATAATAATATATAAATCCTGTATAATAATAATAATAATAATATATAAATCCTGTATACTAATAATAATATATAAATCCTGTATAATAATAATAATAATAATATATAAATCCTGTATACTAATAATAATATATAAATCCTGTATAATAATAATAATAATAATATATAAATCCTGTATACTAATAATAATATATAAATCCTGTATAATAATAATATATAAATCCTGTATAATAATAATAATATTGAATCAAAGATTGAACACGACTGGCCTTACTATGGGGGGTCAAATGTCACCAAACAAACCAACAAACACAAAACTCTGAGCTAATTTGTTTCTTTTTACATTTGGCTTAGAGTTTGGTGTGTTTGTTGGTTTGTTTAGTGACCTCTGACATGATCGGCAGCTCCACCCCCTATAGTGAGGCCAGTGGTGTTCAATCTATGGTTCGATATATATAGACCTGGCTCTATCACATGTTGGTTAGCATAGCTCTGAGGAAGGAGGTATGCCTCCAAAACACATCAGATTACAAGTCCAGCTGGGTTACATGGACACACACGATTCCGCTTGCTGTGGCATTTTGTGGTTTTTATGCAATTTTACTTTCCACTTCTCTGAGCATCCATTTGGCATCTACGTTTTGTGAAGAATAAATCTTTGATAATGCACTAGACTTTTGCACCCTCCTGTCGTGTTCTTTTTGTAGTTTATATTTTTTCATATTGATTCTTCCAATGTGTACAAAATCTCACTAATAAATATATGTTAGTAATAGTATACACAGGGCTTTTTTTCAGCTGGAACTTGGTGGAACTCAGTTCCACCATCTCTTTCTCAAACCCTCTGCTCCATGCTCATCACTATCGCTTGTAAACACAGAAGTCCACCTTCTGTGTTTACAAGTGATAGCTTGTCTCCTATTGGATGCCACAGATCTGATCTCCTGAGCAGATCCTACGGAGTGCAAGACAAGGACAATGAGAAGCAGGTGCTTGGGGTCCACTGCAGTCACGTGATAGGCTGCACCTTCTGTGATCTTCTTTTTTCCCTGGTGCCCAGATGCCGATGCCCCCACTAGATGATGTGTGTGGAGGTACTAGAGCCGATTGGATGATGGAAGTCAGCAGAACTTCTGCTTAATTACTAAGCTCTGGAGCAACTTTGCAAAGTACACAGTTAGTTTGCCTTTATTAAATCAACCCCATTGTGTGCAGGGGTCAGTAGTATGTAATGCAGAGTGTAGGGGTCAGAAGTACATAATGCATAGTGCAGGGAGAACCAAAAAGTACCCCCTAGTTCTAGCACAAATTCTACTTCCTAATACACCCCCCTCCACAGTACATACACTATACTGCCAAAAGTATTGGATCGCCTGCTTTTCCACGCACATGAACTTTAATGGAATCCCAGTCTTAGTCCGTAGGGTTCAATATTGAGTTGGCCCGCCCTTTGCAGCTATAACAGCTTCAACTCTTCTGGGAAGGCCGTCCACAAGGTTTAGGAGGGTGTCTATGGGAAGGTTGGACCATTCTTCCAGAAGCACATTTGACAGGTCAGGCACTGATGTCGGGGGAGGAGGCCTGGCTCACAGTCTCGGCTCTAATTCATCCCAAAAGTGTTCTATGGGGTTGAGGTCAGGACTCTGTGAAGGCCAGTCACGTTCCTCCACCCCAAACTGGCTCCTCCATGTCTTTATGGACCTTGCTTTGTGCACTGGTGGGCAGTCATGTTGGAACAGGAAGGGGCCATCCCCAAACTCTTCCCACAAACTTGGGAGCATGAAATTGTCCAAAATGTCGCCTTAAGAGTTCCCTTCACTGGAACTAGGGGGCCAAGTCCAACCCCTGAAAAACAACCTCACACCATAATCCCCCCTCCACCAAACTTTACACTTGGCACAATGCAGTCAGGCAAGTACTGTTCTCCTGGCAACCGCCCAACCCAGACATGTCCATTGGATTGCCAGACAGAGAAACATGACTCGTCACTCTGGGGAACATGTCTCCACTGCTCTAGAGTCCAGTGGCTGTGTGCTTTACACTCCTGCATCTGACACTCTGCATTGCACTTGGTGATGTAAGGCTTGGATGCAGCTGCTCGGCCATGGAAACCCCATTCCATGAAGCTCTCTACGCACTGTTCTTGTGCTAATCTGAAGGTCACATGACGTTTGGAGATCTTTAGCTAATGACTCTGCAGAAAGTTGGCGCTTCAGCATGTGCTGACCCCGCTCTGTCATGTGACGTGGCCTACCACTTGGTGGCTGAGCTGCTGTTGTTCCCAGTTGCTCCCACTTTGTTATAATCCCACTAACAGTTGAGCGTGGAATATTTAGTAGCCAGGAAATGTCACGGATGGACTTATTGCACAGGTGACAACCTATCACAGGACCACACTTGGAGTCACTGAGCTCCTGAGAGCGACCCATTCTTTCACCAATGTTTGTAGAAGCAGTCTGCATGCCTAGGGGCTTGATTGGATACACCTGGGGGCCATGGAGGGGATTGGAACACCTGAATCTAATGATTTGGAGGGCTGTCCCAATAATTTTGCCAATATAGTGTATCTCCCCTCTATCACCCCATAATCTCTCCAGACCTCCTCCAATACAGAAATTCCCACCTTTGTCTGTAAAATCCACCGGCCAGACCACAGACACAGCAGTAGTGCCCCTTGACTTTGCTAGGTGGCACTGTACATCAGAGCTGAGAAGGAGGTTAGGGGAACCTTCCTTGGCTCTGTGCTGCTGCAGTGTCTGAAGTCTGACAGGCAGAAAAAAGCAGCAGTTGCATTGCAAATGACACTGTATTGCCAAAACCAAAACCAAAACAGACGATTGTGGCATCGAAACCTAGCTCAACCTGCAAGAGATGCTGGGCACCAGCCCCAGGTGGCCCAGTGCTAGTGATGATCATGTATTGATGTGCTAATACATACAGAGCTACATTAATTGTGTTTCTTTTCTAGCTGTCTGAAGTTCAGTATTAATCAAAAGGGCTGCAAATTCTGTGGTTTCTAAATCAGTATAAGAATCCTGCGAGAGTCAGTAAATCAGATGAGAAGTGAGATAAGTTGTCACACTGCAGCTCATTAAGGGGAAGTAGCAGTTATGCTCAGATGTATTTGTCGGAGTCGCATCTACAAGACACTGATGTGGTGAGCTTCTCTGCCGCCTTGTGTAATGGGATGATAAAGTTGCATTGTGGTTTTCTGTATATTGCAATGATGGCTCACTGCCAACAGCTGATGGTGAAGACGCCTTCCTTCCAACAACTGGAAGCAATGAATGAACTTTATTTTTTTAGCTTTAGTGTCTGTGGGTGTGACAGAATACCCAGTTCCTCAAACCGTTATAAGGAACTAAGGGACTCATCCGAATAAATAGATATTTATCGTTCAGACGGGAGCTGGACAGTGCTAAAGCCATACCTTCCCCAGTCAGGTAGGAACCACCTCTGCCACACATACACCTCTGAGGCTACCAGCGATCGGGTGCTTTCTGGTTGTAGTAAGGCCTAGTGTAGTGTTGTCAAGGACTAGGTGCATTCTGTTAGTAGTAGAGCCAAGTGTAGTGCTGGTAAGGACTGGGCACTTGTTAGTAGTAGAGCCAAGTGTAGTGCTGGTAAGGACTGGGTGCTTGTTGTTAGTAGTAGATCCATGTGTAGTGCTGCCGAGGACTAGGTGCTTGCTATTAGTAGTAAGGTCAAGTGTAATGCTTTGAAGACCTGGGTACCTGCTGCTAGTAATGGAGCCAAGTGTAGTGCTTGTTCTGTTAGTCGATCCTGCTCAGATGCTCACACACTGTAGTTAGTAGGAGACATTTTATTAGGTGCTCATAGCTGCCATTATACATGTGTCTGCATTAGAACTACAACCAAAGAGAGGCAATAATACAGTTGTACCAGTATCTAAGTAGTGAGACCCCTAGAGGCCATACACAGCATATAACATATTGCTACAACAGGGGAGAGCACAGCCTGTGATTGACAGCCTTAGATGTGTTCCTGTGTGTTGTGTGGAGGGGGGGGGGGGGTCTCTTCCCTGCAATCAGCAATCAGAGCTCTCCTCACTTCAGCTCCCTGCCCCCCCCTGCTTTTCAGAGCTGAGAAATCTTGCGTATGTTCTGCACTTTCAAAGGATGCATAGGACAGATCGCTGCAGATAAACAGGTACAACGTATGTAGGAGGATTTGTTTCATCTCTGTGTACCACCTGAGACTTGCCACTTCACTGGGTATATGGAAGGGTTTACAACCACTTTAAGGCAGGGGGCAGTACAGACATATATGGGTGGTATGTGGGTTTTCAGGCCTACCCCCCTATGCATTACATGGTTGGCAAACTACCCCTCCTGTGCACCTCCCTGATGTTGGTTTCTGTCGGGTACTAAGGCCTTGACATTCCCAGTCTTGATGATCTCTTCCTCCAAAGCTCCAACCACCACCAGGCTTCTGTCCAATGAGATCTTTATGGTCTGCTAAGGCAGGTTTATTGGGGTGGGGCTTAGACCAGTGAAACCCGAATCAGAGGGGCACACAGCTGTCCTGGCCATTACAGTAATGCCAGAGGGCTCTCAGGCTTTCAGTCTAAATGATGACAGGTTCACCTCGGTGATATGTGAATTATTATTTATAATTGCTGATATCTGAATTATTACTGAATAACTGCATGGATATATTTAATTCTTACATGTAATAAAGACTGATATTATCATGTATGTGTTTGTTATCATTGACATCTCTAAATCTGATCATCCCAATAAAGAATACATGAGCAGAGGTGATCCAGAGATACAGATTCAGATCTCCCAGACATAATTCCCAGCTCTGATCCTGTCCACCATTGTATGTTCCATCCCCTCCTGGAACATTGTCCAAAATATGAAAAACTAAAATCCAGCAGGGATGGTGGTAACCCCTCATAATGGGCACAGCGGGTGTACAGACCCGGGAACTCAGCACAGGGATGGTAGGAAACCCTCATAGTGGGCACAGCGGGTGTACAGACCAGGGAACTCAGCACAGGGATGGTGGAAAACCCTCATAATGGGCACAGCGGGTGTACAGACCCGGGAACTCAGCACAGGGATGGCGGGAACCTCTCATAATGGGCACAGCGGGTGTACAGACCCGGGAACTCAGCACAGGGATGGCGGGAACCTCTCATAATGGGCACAGCGGGTGTACAGACCCGGGAACTCAGCACAGGGATTGTGGGAACCCCTCATAAAGGGCACAGCAGGTGTACAGACCCAGGAACTCAGCACAGGGATGGTGTGAACCCCTCATAAAGGGCACAGCAGGTGTATAGACCCAGAAACCCAGCACAGGGATGGCGGGAACCTCTCATAATGGGGCACAGCAGGTGTACAGACCCAGGAACTCAGCACAGAGATGGTGGGAACCCCTCATAAAGGGCACAGCAGGTGTATAGACCCAGAAACCCAGCACAGGGATGGCGGGAACCTCTCATAATGGGCACAGCGGGTGTATAGACCAGGGAACTCAGCACAGGGATGGTGGGAACCCCTCATATTGGGCACAGAGGTGTACAGACCCGGGAACTCAGCACAGGGATGGTGGGAAACCCTCATAATGGGCACAGCGGATGTACAGACCAAGGAACTCAGCACAGGGATGTGGGAACCCACCATAATGGGCACAACGGGTGTACAGACCCGGGAACTCAGCACAGGGATGTGGGAACCCATCATAATGGGCACAACGGGTGTACAGACCCGGGAACTCAGCACAGGGATGGTGGGAACCCCTCATAATGGGCACAGCGGGTGCACAAACCCAAGAACTCAGCACAGGGATGGTGGGAACCCCTCACAATGGGCACAGCGGGTGTACAGACCCGGGAACTCAGCACAGGGATGTGGGAACCCATCATAATGGGCACAGCAGGTACACAGACCCAGGAACTCAGCACAGAGATGCTGATGATGAGTTACGTCATTTACTAAGCATTTACTAACCGGTGTACAAACCCGGGAACTCAGCACAGGGATGGTGGGAACCCCTCACAATGGGCACAGCGGGTGTACAGACCCGGGAACTCAGCACAGGGATGTGGGAACCCATCATAATGGGCGCAGCGGGTACACAGACCAAGGAACTCAGCACAGGGATGTGGGAACCCATCATAATGGGCACAACGGGTGTACAGACCCGGGAACTCAGCACAGGGATGGTGGGAACCCCTCATAATGGGCACAGCGGGGTGCACAAACCCGGGAACTCAGCACAGGGATGGTGGGAACCCCTCACAATGGGCACAGCGGGTGTACAGACCCGGGAACTCAGCACAGGGATGTGGGAACCCATCATAATGGGCACAGCGGGTACACAGACCCAGGAACTCAGCACAGAGATGCTGATGATGAGTTACGTCATTTACTAAGCATTTACTAACCGGTGTACAAACCCGGGAACTCAGCACAGGGATGGTGGGAACCCCTCACAATGGGCACAGCGGGTGTACAGACCCGGGAACTCAGCACAGGGATGTGGGAACCCATCATAATGGGCGCAGCGGGTACACAGACCAAGGAACTCAGCACAGGGATGTGGGAACCCATCATAATGGGCACAACGGGTGTACAGACCCGGGAACTCAGCACAGGGATGGTGGGAACCCCTCATAATGGGCACAGCGGGTGCACAAACCCGGGAACTCAGCACAGGGATGGTAGGAACCCCTCACAATGGGCACAGCGGGTGTACAGACCTGGGAACTCAGCACAGGGATGTGGGAACCCATCATAATGGGCACAGCGGGTGCACAAACCCGGGAACTCAGCACAGGGATGTGGGAACCCATCATAATGGGCACAGCGGGTACACAGACCCGGGAACTCAGCACAGAGATGTGGGAACCCATCATAATGGGCACAGCGGGTGCACAAACCCGGGAACTCAGCACAGGGATGGTGGGAACCCCTCACAATGGGCACAGCGGGTGTACAGACCCGGGAACTCAGCACAGGGATGTGGGAACCCATCATAATGGGCGCAGCGGGTACACAGACCAAGGAACTCAGCACAGGGATGTGGGAACCCATCATAATGGGCACAACGGGTGTACAGACCCGGGAACTCAGCACAGGGATGGTGGGAACCCCTCACAATGGGCACAGCGGGTGTACAGACCCGGGAACTCAGCACAGAGATGTGGGAACCCATCATAATGGGCACAGCGGGTGCACAGACCCGGGAACTCAGCACAGAGATGGTGATGATGAGTTATGTCATTTACGAAGCTCTGGAGTAACTGCACTTGTAGAGTGCAACTGCACTTTGCAAAGTGCAAGGCCTATTTGCCTTTAGTAAATCAACCCCTATGTGCCTAGAAGCTTAGAAGCTTGCTACGTATTCCTGTGAGAAAGCAGCCGGACAAAGACTACTTGTAAAGGAGATGGTTTCAGGGTATCAGGGCTTTTTTTCAGCGGGAATACAGGGGAAAGCAGTTCCAGCAACTCCAGCACTGGATGTATGTAATGGCAAGGAGTGCTGGGGTGTGCTAGAGGGTCTATTGAGGCTTGCTGCTAGGGAATCTATTGTTGCTGGAGGAAATCTGCTTTTGAGTGGGGAGGGACTAATGTTTCTGGGGGGGTCATTTGTTGCTGGGAAGGACCTACAGTTGAGGGAGGGGTCTATTATTGCTGGCTGCTGCAGGGTTTAGAGATCTGTTGTTGCTGCTGCTGGGGGTCTATTGTTGCGTGGAGGTCTATTTTTGCTGGGGGGGGGGCTCAGTTTTTGCCAGGGGGGCTATTGTTGCTGGCTGCAGGGGATATATTTTACTGCTTTTCTAGTTATCACTAAAAAATTCCAAATTTTTTAGCACAACAATATGATACTTGGTTCTGTATTCTCTAAAGTGGGCAGTACTGAGAGGTGGAACCAAGGGATGGTGCTCAGAGGTAGGTAGGAGGCAGAAACAAGGGTGACTCAGAAAGGGAGGAGTACCCATTCTCTGAAAAAAAAAATCCTTGATTAGTATAAATGTAAATGTTGGGGATTCATGGAGATTTTATAAGATGGCAGGGCGTTAGTGTTACGGGGAGGGTTACATGAAGGATTAGTGTTAGGGTTGATGTAACAGTACAGAGAGGACTAGAGTTGGGCTAAGTGGAGGATTACAGAGAGCTTCAGTGTGACAGGCCACTAGGGGATATAATCACCATCTGTGCTAAAAACTACATGGCTGATTTTCCAGCAATGAATGCAAATGATCTTCCTTGACTTGATGATGATTACTTAAACATTTTAGGAAGACCAGTTATAGATCGCATTACGTTTGGACATCGATCTATTAAACTGAATGTTCATGCCTTTTATCCATGAGATCTTGTGGTGACCTGGGAAGAATCAGACAAACGACATGGCCAATACAAATGAATTATGGAGGAACGCATCAAGAGTGATATGCAAGAGGGCGAAGATGGCATATACAGGTATACCAGCATCTGTGAGGCCATGGCACTGGGTGATCTTATGAACCTGGTGGACAAATATGTTAAAGCCACCATTAAACTTGAAGCTCTGGAGTTTTTCAAAAATATTTATTTCTTCTGCAGCAATGGTAAAGCCAGATTTTTTTTTATAGTTCTGCATAGCACAGTAAAGCCTGCTTAGAAGAGAAGGTCTTCACCAGGGTTGCTAACCAAACACGTGTAGCACACACACATGAACTTTAATGGCATTCCAGTCTTAGTCCATAGGGTTCAATATTGTGTTGGCCCCGCCCTTTGCAGCTATAACAGCTTCAACTCTTCTGGGAAGGCTGTCCACAAGGTCTAGGAGGGTGTCTATGGGAAGGTTGGACCATTCTTCCAGAAGCACATTTGTGAGGTCAGGCACTGATGTCAGACGAGAAGGCCTGGCTCGCAGTCTCCGCTCCAATTCATCTCAAAGGCATTCTATCGGGTTGAGGTCAGGGCTCTGTGCAGGCCAGTCAAGTTCCTCCACCCCAAACTGGCTCCTCCATGTCTTTATGGACCTTGGTTTGTGCACTGGTGCGCAGTCATGTTGGAACAGGAAGGGGCCATCCCCAAACTCTTCCCACAAAGTTGGGAGCATGAAATTGTCCAAAATGTCTTGGTATGCTGACGCCTTAAGAGTTCCCTTCGCTGGAACTAGGGGGCCAAGCCCAACCCCTTAAAAACAACCCCACATCATAATCCCCCCTCCACCAAACTTTACACTTGGCCCAATGCAGTCTGGCAAGTACCGTTCTCCTAGCAAACAACAAACCCAGACATGTCCGTCAGATTGCCAGACAGAGAAGCGTGATTCATCACTCCAGAGAACACGCCTCCACTGCTCTAGAGTCCAGTGGCAGTGTGCTTTACACCACGGCAACTGACTCTTTGAATTGCACTTGGTGATGTAAGGCTTGGATGCAGCTGCTCGGCCATGGAAACCCATTCCATGAAGCTCTATATGCACTGTTGTTGTGCTAATCTGAAGGCCACACCAAGTTTGGAGGTCTTTAGCTATTGACTCTGCACAATTAGAGATTTCTGCGCACTGTGCTCTTCGGCATGCGCTAACCCCACTCTGTCATTTTACGTGGACTACCACTTGGTGGCTGAGTTGCTGTTGTCCCCAGTTGCTTCTACTTTGTTATAATACCACTAATAGTTGAGCATGGAATATTTAATAGCCAGGAAATGTCATGGATGGACTTATCGTACAGGTGGCAACCTAGTAGGATACCATGCTTGCATTCACTGAGCTCCTGAGAGTGACCCATTCTTTCACAAAGTTTGTAGAAGCTTTCTGCATACCTAGGGGCTTGATTTTATACACCTGTGGCCATGGAGGTGATTGGAACACCTGAACACTAGAAGAGGGACAAGGGGCACCCCTTCCTAGTTCCCCTACCTATGGCAAAGGAAAAGGAGTTGGAACTACCAATTTTGAGGGCCATCCTAGGTTGGCTGTGAAGAAGGGAAATCCACTTGCAATTCTTAAGTCCACAACCCATCTTAGTCAACACTAGCCTCACATATCCTCAATCCACTAAATCAAACATTTTGGCAATTTCCAGCGACACCAACACGCTGCTGCCAATCTGGGCATGGGAATCCTGCAAATGTGTGAAAAGTCTGTGAAGGGTAGTATCGGTGGACTTTCCTGGCATAAAGCTTGTTTGATCAACAGTAGCAAATGAAGAGATAACCATGGATAGTCTAGTAGCCAAGGTTTTAAATAAAATTTTTAGATCTGCATTAAGTAACGCTATGGGTCGATAAGAGGAGCATTGAGTGTGGTCCTTGCATGGTTTAGGGATAAGGAGCACATTTACCTCAACCATAGAGCAGGGTAGGATGTCATGAGCAAAACAGTAGGCATATAAGGAACGAAATCTAGGGACAAAGGTATCTGAATATAATTTGTACCAATCAATTGGAAACCAATCTGTTCCTGGTTACTTGTGCATGTATGTAGTTAAGGAGTGATCTGTGGACATCTCATCATCATTTTTATTCACCAGGTTCTTCTCTGTGCTAAACCACATTATAGTG